GTGTAAAGAATTTAGTGTGTTCCCTGGAGGGGCTCACAGAGTTTAAACAGCATCTGTATATGTATCCATGTGTCTACTGTTCTCTTCCTCCCAAGGATTGAAAAAGAAAACTGAAAACTGGCGAGCATGTACCCTGCCTCTCACCCTAAGACAGCTGGGATAGTGGAAGAGAACGGATGGATGTTTCAAATGTGATCAGCTGTACGAATTTAACCTTACTGTGCAAGGAAATCACTTCTGATTGGATCACTTCTAAAGTCGGATCTGAATATTTTATAGTTTTTATTCGTTGATGAAAGTAGCGATTTTTTCATAAATTTGCCTTTGTGCATTTGTTTTTATTTAATCACTTTAAAAAAGCTATTAATGAAAACTAGTTAACCATGTCACAGAGTGCTTGAGCCTTTGGATTCAGCTGTTATTTATCAGGAAAACCCTGATTGGCAACAAAGATTATTTTTAGTTTTGATACTTACCTACAGTTTGTGAATAATACAGTTCTATGTATAGTGAGGTGTTTTAAAAGTGTTTTATTGCTTCCTTCGCTAAAGGAATAAAAAAAAAATTTAAACAGCATTTTTTGGTAACATAGTAGCTATTTATTTAGTTATACAGTTAATAATATTTTACAATTATTCAGCCAGGAACGAGTGCAGAACGATGAAGAAATCCACACAGAGTGAAGCAAACTGCAGGAGGCTGTCAGCATATTTAAAAGAATAAAAGACAGGCGGCACAAAATGGCACGTTACCTTTCTGTAAAAGTCACTGCACGCCACTGCTTTCATAACATTAACCCTGCACTGCTGAATCCTTCATCACAATCTTGGATCTTCTGCGATCACTACAGGGACAGAGGCGTAGGTGCTCCTGGGTGCAGAAGCAGCGCACACTACCAGATTATCTGTCAGTGAAGTGAGATGCTTCCTGGTTTAGCAAGCTCCTTTTGATCACAGTCTGAAATGACACCGGTAACTTCAGCACCCACTGCGGCAAAGAGGGGCGAGCCATCAGAATAAAATAAACAGGAAAAGTTATCTACCCGCAGAAATGCATAAAACAGAAAAATATATCACCTCTGCATCAACCTCCCTTGATGCATCTGATTATGCTCAAACACCGATTTAAGTCCATTTAGCTTTTATTTCACCTCTTTAAATGCACTGACTGCAATGTTTTAGAGCAGGGGTGTCAAACTC